TTGCATTTCAAATTAACATCCCAATCGGATTCATTAAAGAGTTTAAGTGGACCACTAGTAACAGACTTTTCCTTTTCTTCGTATTTATCATCTAATAATGGGATATTTAGTTCTTCCAAAGTTTCTGCATAAAAATTAAAACAAATTAGAATGTTTGTAATTATAAATTTATTATTAATTACTATCTGACATTCTGTAAGCTATTGAAAAATTGTACCTTTACTTGTATCTGGTAACTGAACATGCAGAGAGATAACATGTCTAAAATTTTCTATAATTCTGTGCACTGTAGATTCTTGAAAAGGTTTGCTATTATCTATATCATACATCGTTGATATGAATATTTTATTCGCGTTATAAAATCCTTCAGTTTGGAGATCACTATCATCATTTTCCACTGGTCTAATTTCCGGGAATTTTCGCAATATTACTTTCATTTGCTTCGGATCCATACTAATAATTTTTCCTACGGTTTGTTTATATTCTTTAACACTTTGCGACAATAAACCTCGGATATCGATCGGACCGTCAATTACCTCCTCCCGAGCTACGTCTATGACAAATACTTTAGTTGCAACTCCTGAAACATAACATTTACGAAGTTTGAATTTTGATTGTATATAATTTATTTCACACACACATCCATTCAATTCCGTACTCACCACCCGGTAAATACGTCTCAAACTTTTGATCTTTGCGACGAATTTCTAATAATAAATCGAATCGACGTGAAAAACGCCATATATTTCCAACAGATTCATGCTCTCGATCATCGTAACTACATTCTATTAAATCAGTATTATGTTCATAACTAACTAAACGACACTGATCCAAACTCACTACATTTTCAAGACCAAATTTCTTATACGCTTTTTCTGTTGCTTCGGTCCAAGTGATATCAGGCATGACAAATAATTTGACATTCATCAATTTCCCTTCTACCGGATGATGACAGTATACTTTCAACCTAGGTATAGACATTTTCTCACGATTTTTTCTATCGTTATCTTCATTTTCTTTCATTTTCTTTAATAGCTCCTATAAGATGATAAAAAAATAATGTATTAAATAATATAGATTATCTGGAAAAAAAGGAAAAACAGGAAAGTTTTTGCATATACAATTGCAAAAGATGTCTTACAATTAAAATATCTTAATTATTGGACAAAAATTTTAATTATTTTGTTATAATAAATAAATTGTAATAATTATGTTTAAATAAATTTAAAACTGTAATTGCAAATTGAATAGTTTAAGAATTTATTCTATTCGAATTTTACAAACTATTCTAATTTAAAGACTACTACAATATAATTCATTTGGCTCTAAATTCTAATTTTTATTTACATTACTTGTACAAATAATATAATATACAAATAATATACATTATCTATATATTATTTGTATATTACCTGAATATGTTGCGGAAAATCTTCAGTTTGCATAGGTAAAGCATTACGAGCACGATCGATTTGCCTATACATAAGCATATACGCATTCGTGCTACTACTATATGCACCGCTATAATACGCCCTCGAAGGTCCACCGCCATATGTTTTATGAATATCATCATCAGTTATCTGAAGATGTAACACAACTGAAAAAATTATTACAATGTTAAGGAATACAATAAATTATTGCAAAATTAATTTTCATACCTGAGTTACGCTTTGGTCATTAAAACATAACCATTCTTGTGTCCTGAAATCTTTTATATAAGCATAATAATGACCTCCGCTCGCACTGCCGCTATGAATCATGATTGAGAACAGTTCATATGTGTATGGGCCTTTTCCTAGCATATAAGCACTGCGATTCTTTTCATTTTCATGATTATGCGTAATACAGCTCGACGTTGACGGTCCATTGCTCATATCAATACCTGAAGGCAGACATACACATTCTCTAATAATTCTGAAAATTGGTTCGATAAATAAACACACCTATATTATACCTTCATCGTCGTCTTGATCATGACTGGCTGAATGATTACTGTTGGAAAGGCTGTTGTCACACGGTGCACAATCATCATCTAATGTACCACTGTCTGTCGTGGAACTATCATCACATTTGATACCTAAACCAATATCTTCTTCACCACCAGGAGATTCTTGACTCGTTGTGGACGAAATAAAAGAGTTCAAATTTAATACGTATGGAAACGTGACTCTGAAATGGCACAAATCATAGTAATGTTAAATTATTTCAAAATTAAAAATAAAACATTCATTGATCAAGTATTATGCGATTTACATACTTATCGTTGAGCTTGATTCTGTGAAAAGTTTTATAATCAAAATCAAACCGCTTGAGATGTAAAGTTAATAGATATGGAAATTTCGTAAACTTCAATCCTTTATGCGCGTCACATTTTTTATTGCATTTTTCACAATGATACTGATTAGCTCCTTCCAATGTTTCATACTGAACAAATGCTCTAATTGCTTCTTCCTACGAGAAAAAGAGCTTCTTTCTTATATATATAAATGTAAATTTCAAATTGCAGTATTTCAAATAACAGTAATATTTACCACACTGTTATATGCAACATTGCTTCCAAACGGCCTAACTGGTAATGGGATATCAAGAAACGTATCTTCTCTTGATTTTTCTGTTCCACACTCAAGACATTTAACGTAATCGGTCATCTTTCCTAGCAATATAGAAAGCAAATTACAGATATTTTCATAACTTACACATAATGATATTTTGTACCTTCGTAAAGTCTATTAATTAGATCCGCTTGTTCTGTATTTTTGAATTTCTGTTCTAATGCATCGAACATAACTCTACAAAGCTCTTGAATATCGTGTTGTTGCCATGCTTCGGTAGAATCCCATCCAAAACTTTTCGTTAAGGATGTAGTCTCCACTGCAGACCTTGTAGACGTCTATTTGTAAAAAATGTGATTATATTATTAAAAATTATTTCAAAAATTATATTAAATACACACATGAAAAATATACATATACAATGCAAATTTATTAAACACATATTATACCTGTAAATTGAGAAATAACTTCTGTAATTGATACGGTATGCTTAGAGCTTCATCCTTTTCTGAACTATCTATATATTCCCAATTATAAAGTGCATTACGAAATTCTGGTGTCATATACAAAGCTTGAAGAAGACTATTCAAGTAACAAGTCATTGCTTGATTGACTAAACCGACATAGCCTTAAAGAAATTATAAAATAAATTATGCAGATATATATTATAAAATACAAATAAAAATATTTTCGTTAATATATGCAAATTTATATTAAAATAATTCTTAAATGGTGCTTACATACTTGTTTCAGTTTTAATAAAAGTTCTGAAATTAACTTCTTCTCTACCATCCCTAACATCTTCTCTAACGTCTTCCCGAACAATATTTTCCTCAGTCCATCGTGGATGAAGGGACGGTGCACCTGTTACATTAAACGTTGGCAGATGATGATAATCCATCTTTCTTCGGGACGTTGCCATATCAATAACAAAGGGTTCTGTTGGATGAACGACAAACAGAGTATTTTTCATTTCAGGTGAATTCGAATCAACCGAAAAATCTACTCCAACCTGCTCCATCGTTTTGTCTTTCAACTCGGATAAATCAATCTATAATATTGGATATAATATAAACTATATTAGAACACAATTTATTACAATTATATATATAAAAAGTTGTAATTAAAATAACCAGTGTGCATGACGGCGTGCGTAGAAGCAACCTAAAACTGTCCGGTTGCATATGATAATGTTGTTCGATATAGTTATAAAGATCCTTCACGCGTGTAGATACATGTAAGGAAAATTTGTCGCTAGTGCAAAGTTTATGGTTAGCCTCATAAGGCATATTAAACTGAACGACACATACTTGAGTCTTTTCACCAGCTTTGCAAACCATGATCTGTAAACAAAATGCCAAATGTATAAATCTTATTAAATTATATATTTACTATAACAATTAATTATTATTTGAGATATTCTTGTGACAAAATAATTCTTTTACAAAAAGTAGTAATATTATCTCCTTTAGTGCAGATATAAATACCATTGCAGTAATGCCAATTTGTATTGAATTTTAAATAGAATTGCGTATTATTTAAAACTATTATATATAATCAAATTATAAAAATAAAAATCTTTAGAATAAATAATTAAAAATATTTTAGTACTATTTATTAAGAAAATTATTGGATTATAATATATTATAATATAATATGACGCCAGAACGAAAGAAATATAGTATTTCTCATTTTATTAATGGATACAGAATTTGGAAAGGTGATTATTAAAAACTTATCAAATACTCTTTTGAGTAGACAAAAATTGGCATTCTGCCATACTGATGGTGGAAAATGAGCAAGATCTACGCAACACAGCAGGATGCTGCTCTGCACGGCATGACACAGTACGGAAAGCCTATAGAGCCTCCAGCTATATTTAGAATGTCTAAACCAAGCTTGTGAAATGGCTCTCTTTTCTGAGATCGCAACCCATCTCTCTTTCCACGCGTTTCTCTGCTTTCCTATTTCATAATCTTGTCTTTTTTCACAGTGAGTCAAAATTTAAGTATTAAAAAATTATCACAATTGTTTCATTTCTAATTATAAACTTTTATTTAAACTATTCTATGTGATTCTGCATATTCTTATTTAGCTATTACATATATACAAGCCAAGATCCATTCTGTTTTATTATATATTTCTAAAAATAGAAATTGTCTTGATCTATTTATCATTATACACAGCAATGGCTTTTTTTAAAGCTTACAGACAATATGTATATTGGAGAATAATAAATAATATGCAAAAATTTATGTTAATCATGTACATTTAAAATGTTTTATAGAGTTGAAACATTTAAGAATTAGATCACAATTTATTATTAAAACTTACCTATTTTTTACTAGACTATTATCGATGTATGCTTTAATAGAAAGTTTATTCCTAATCAACTGATTCAACCTAAAAATGAATAATAATAATAAGATATAAATATATAATATTAAAAATATATTAAATATGTATATTATATTAAAAAATATATATATTAAACAAAATTTAAAGAACTGATCAGATAAATATTGTTACAAGCAACCTTGTCTGTTCGATACAAATAAATCTTATCAAAGTAAATTTTATATTTTTTAATAATATTTCCTACAATGTATTTACTTTGCGATATGCACTTAATCGTATTAAAACTTTGTTAGATATGATTAATTTTATACAAAGTGATAAATATCAATCTATTCAATTGTAGATAAACATAACTGACATTTGTAATAACTGATATTAATGATTATGATAACATAAGATACAATAATTAAAAAAGAGATTTGAGATGTAATAAAAAAATACAATAATTAAAAAAGAGATTTGAGATGTAATAAAAAAAAGACTCCGGTAGTCTTTGCAAGATTTGTGTCCAAATACTTCACGTAAAAGACACAGGAGCAACGGAAAGGCTGTCTTAAACAAATCGACATCGAC